TCAAGCCTTCTTACATCGGCTTTGTGAGGCTATGCCAGGGCTGCATCATCCATTCCACAGAACAAGGTCACAGTTGGTATCAGGGAGGACTTAGGATCTTCATCGTGGCGCTGCCAGCAACCCTGGGAAAGCTCCTGGGAAAGCTGGAACCGCCCAATCTGGGACCCCTCTAAAAATGGGGGGATCGAAGGAGAGATCAGGAGAGGTCTCTCTGAAGAGCTGGAGAGCATCAGAAGAAGGAAAATTGTGCAGCAACCCAGTATTTCTTCCTCTGGAAAGTCACCTGAGCACAGATCGGTGTGGGAGCCATTTTGGCAGAATAGCTGTGAGCATCCCCATTCAAACCCCCCCCCACTTCCTGAGGAAAGGAGAAAATAATACAGCATTGGAAACCTCTGAACTGTGAATAAATACTATTAAAATGAAGAGAAATTAGTGGACGAAAGAAGAAAAGTAGTGGTGAGCTTTATTTACCAGCTTGCTTTATTGAAAGCAAAACGGTTTCTTAATTAGCAAGCTGGCTTATGGCCAAAGGAGAAACACTGAGATGAAAAAATTCTGTTTCTGAAAAAAAATCCCAAAGTGAAATATCACTGGGCAGGCTTTTAGACACGGAAGGTTGTGAATGTTGTTTAACCTGGAATTTACTTCTTGGACTGTCTGAGACTTTGAGAATAAAAAAACTTTTGGGATTAAGGAAATGGACAGCGATTCTCCAGTGAGACAATACAGAGTATTCAGTAAAATCACGACTGGAGTCTGACAGATCATAAGGATATTTATCAGAGAGACTGGTTTCTTGTGTTTGCTGTTATATTTGAACTGTTTTCTGGCTGGAATACCCTTTACTCTATTTCTTAGTTTGGATTTGCAACTTAGGGATGGACAAGACTTGGTAAACAGAAGGTTGTTGGGTTTTGGCAAAGGAACAATAAGCTTTTGGAAGCAAAAAAATGGACTGTGAACAATCAAGACAGAGGAGCTAATAAAATCAGGAGTGGAGCTGGACGGATTATAAGGATTCTATTGAAGAGACCCCTTGTGTGTGCTGTTTAATGTGGACTCCTTTTGGTGGGATTGTGAGAGACTCTGATAAGTTTGCCATGGTTTTAATTTAAACTGTAGGGCTAAAAATTGGTTTATAGACTATAATACCTGTGTAAGGATGGGAGGAAGTATCTAGAGGAAGTTTATGATTGGGGGATCAGTTTGTTGATAAAATAGTGGAAATTGAAAGATTGAAATGATTTCTGAAAATATAAGAGGTTGGGAATCTTGTCTGTCCAAACCCAAAATATGAGAATAGGGGAACAAAATTCTGATATAGAATGGAAGGTTAACATGCAAAAGATAATAATAACAGGATTCCAGCAGGTAAATGAACATCTCAAGATCTGATGAAAGAGGAATTACCAGAGACTAAACAGCAGTTAAATGAAACTGTGTTAAGTCCAGAATTGTTGGTATTGACTGCCACACCAGATAAAATAGATGGGAAGAAAAATAACCCAGTGTGCTTATTCAGACACCATAGTCAGAAATGGTTATGTTAAAAACTCGATTAGAGTCTGGGATCTACGTTTTTCTTCTAAGAAGAGTATTGAAAAAATATGGGAAGTGACAGAAATGGATATATTTGTAGATCTGCTGGAAGATTGTCTAAGGCAGAAGGAACTTGAATGACGGGATGTGTCTTATAAATGGTCTCGATATCCTGATAGTGTTGGAGTAACATAGAGTTAAATTTAAATATAATTATAAATCGATATCTGGAGGGCAATCAAATGGGAAAAAAGTAGAGAGTTGATTTTCTTAAGGAAATATGAAAAGATTGGATGATTGTATACTTTGTGCTCTTCTATCCTCTAATTTCCCTCTCCCTTCCCTTTTATCTTTTGTAGTCCCTACCCTATCTCTTGTAGTTAAAAAATAAAAAGTTTTTTTTAAAGGCAGGACTTAGAAGTCTGGAGGCAGTTGCTGGATCAGTACAATGGTATATCCTTTTGGAGGAGCCAGGGGCTGTTCAAGGCAGAATTCCAGGTCCAGTTGGACACTGTAGGCTCTGCTGGCTTTGGGATCTATTATAGGGGCAAGTGGTGTGCTGGCACTTGGCCAGATAAATGCACCAGGAATTTGACATTTTTAGAATTTTTTCCTATAGTGGGTGCACTGTGGCTATGGGCTGAGGAATGGTCAGATTCGGTTGTACGTTTCTGGTGTAATAACCAGGCAGTCGTACATTTCATTAATAATCTTATGTCCCACTCAGAGAGGGTTATGGCCTTGGTGACAGCATTTACATTGTGGGCACTGAAGTTTAATATATTAATACAGGCCTGGCACGCACCTGGTGTTGCCAATAGTCTAGCTGATGCTTTATCACGCCAACAAATGCAACGGTTCAGAGAACTAGATCCAGGGGCCAGTGAGTTCCTGGAGATTCTTCCCAAGGTCATTTGGCGTGGGGACGCGGAAAGGGCGATAGGTATGGCCCTTGTACCAAGAACAAGGAAAGGGTACTTGGCAGTAAGTAGAGAATTCCAAAAGTTTAGAGAGGCAGTGGGTTTGGATCACATCTGGCCAGTCCCAATTGACCATCTACAATAGTTTATCATGAGCTTGAACAGGCAGAGCTTGCCCCCAGGAACTATCCAGGGCAAACTTTCTGCATTGGCTTTCTATGCAAGAATCAGAGGCTTCCAAGACCACTCATCAGATGTTTGCATACGGAAGATGATTGAAGTTTGGTCCAAGGAAAGGGGCAGAGTGAAGGATTGGGGGGATGGGTCCCCCTGACAAAGTACCAGTTCTGGAAATTGAGCAATCTGGCACTTGAAAAGGAGGGAGTCCAAGACCTTAGGTTTGGTACAAACTTCTTCAGAATTGGTCCTGCATTCACCGCAACATGCCTCGTCTATCGCCTGGACGATATTAACGGATAGGTAGGTGAGCATCATCATCTTATCGAAGCTATGTATGGGCACTCCCTAATGAGTAGGCAGGGGCCTACTGTGTTTTTGTCTTGCAGGTGCCACGCTGGTAGCAAGGTGGAGACACATTGTGCTGCTGGGCCACAGTTATGATTTTTGGGCAGCCAAATCCCCATGGGGGAGCAATCTTGGTTTTTATGCAAGGGCTCACGTCAAATGGAGGGAGCGCCGCAGCATGCTGTGGAACCAGCTTTGTCGTGGAAGAAACCTGCCGGACATATTGGTGATACACTTGGGCAGCAACAATTTGGCATGCTATCCCGGTAAGCCTCTGATCCTGGATGTGATCCTTGACCTCACCTGGTTGAGGAGCACTTACCCTGGCATGCGTATTGTATGATCGACAATCATCCCCTACCTGTTTTGGAGGGACAGGAGACAGTTTTAACCCGTAAATATCGCCCGCCAGAGTGTTAACGGGGAAGTCTGCAGAGCTGTTTGCAGAGGCCTGGGATCTGTGGTCGGCCACCACAGGATCCGTCTGGATAGGACAGAATTTTTCCAGTCAGATGGCGTTCATCTGTCCGAGCGAGGTTTGGATGTCTTCTTGGAAGACATTAAGGGGGGACTGCTTTTGGAGCTGGAGCAGCTTGATGGCAGGCATGGGACATAGCATGCGGTTAGTGCGGATTAAACAGGTATTTGAAGTGGGAAGTCAAATTGTGGTAGCAGGTAATTATAGCTCATCTGAACTCCCAGCACTGCAGATCATGCAATTACAGTGCTTGGGCAGAAAAGATGCACTGGCGACACATCCGTACCAGCACAGAGAAAGTGGCACGAGGTCAGGGGTTTTTTATTCAAATTTGGGCCACTGTGTTCAAGAAGGGGAGAACTGAGGCCAGGGTTTAGCGCATTTGCTGTTGTGATGGGTCATTTTAGAGCCCCAGTTAGAAACCTGAATTCGCATTATGGCAGGATCCCCCTTGCCAAATGATTGCCAACAATGTTGAGATTGGAATAAAGTTAAATAAAGTGTGGCCCGCGTTTAACCCACATACTTGATCTCGCATATTTATTCCGGGGTAAGAGGGCAATGGTGATCATGTCATCAGCAGTGGTAAATGGTCACTGATTAAAGGCTTTATTTAAGGATTTTGCTATGCAAGCAACTTTATTGCATTTTGTACACTCAGCATGCACCATGAAATTGCCTTTAATCAGTGACAATTTGCCGCACCTATAACTTATGTTATTTTGTTTTATGTGCTATTAAATTGCATCCAAGTATCCGCTCTGGGAATCTTGAGTAGCTGGGGGGGGGGGGAGAGATGAATGTTGGCACTACAGACATAGCCTTGTCTTCACAACAATGTCTGCAGAGGAAAAAGCCCAATCAAAATCTCCCAGTATGAAAAAGCTGTAACTCTTTACAGGCAGGGGAAAAAATCTAGTTTGGCAGAAAACAGGTTGGACCAGTTCAGTTCAGCCTTGTATGTCATGCAGACAGAAAATAATCCTTTATATTCACTCATTTTATATGTGGAACAAATCTCATGAAATTCTACCATGTAGTTGCCCTCTTAAGTCTCTATTGGCAGGCTGCAAAGGGGCTGAGGAAATGAAAAATTTCTTTTTCAGTGTATTAGGGTAGTGCATTATTTAAAATAATGAAAACCAAAAAGAAAATGTCCTTCAAATTAGGAGGCTCTTTTTTATGTGATGCAGTACATATGTGTTGCCTTATTACACCACACTAGTTCTTATATAAAGGAGATTATATCAAGTTGTGGCATAGGTGAATTCTGTTTCTTAGAGAGTTACTTATTTAGAAATTAATTCATCCTTGACTTGTCCACTACGGCTTTCACACACTGTGAGAACAATTTCAACATTGGTTACTTTTTCTGCAAATATAATAAATGAGCAAGAACACAAATATCTTGCAGTGTAGTAAACCCACAACTATAAAGTATGTTAATGAACTTACACATTGTTTATAAGAGATAGCTTAACAATGGGATATAAGAGACAGCTTAACAAAAAGCATAGCAGCAAATATTTACATACCTGTAAAGTCATACAAACAGTAAGTATGATGAAGAAGAGAACCATTAAGCCAAATCCTCCAATCAGAAGAGGTCTGCGACCAATCTTTTCTATGACTAAGCCCTGAGGGAGGAAAAAAGGCTTATTTTCTCACACACACACAAATGGATTTATGCTGTCAACTCTTGCAACTTCTAATGGAATAACCCAAAAGTGATGGGAATCCATGATCTTTCAGGGCTCCCAAGGACCCTAAATAAGGCACTCAGGGTTTGTATACACACCTGTTTTGGAATGGGCTGGATCAAGCTAAAAAGGGTTGCAAGGAGATCTGGTATGCTACTTGGTGCAACCTTTGCATCCAGATGACACACAGACCTCAACTGATCCTATTTGGTCCTCTTTGGTCCACTGTCAATTTGCCAGTATCATGAAGTGGCTTAAGAAGAGAGCCACTTCAGGATATTGGCAGGCTGCAAAGGGGCTAAGGAAATGAAAAATTTCTTTTTCAGTGTATTAGGGTAGTGCATTATTTAAAATAATGAAAACCAAAAAGAAAATGTCCTTCAAATTAGGAGGCTCTTTTTTATGTGATGCAGTACATATGTGTTGCCTTAATATACTTGATTTTTCCCCATTTCCTTGGCCCTTCCATAGATCCAAGGAAATATTACTATGCTAACATCCAGAAATAGCTCTCTTTTTCAACCACTGAATAGGGCATTCAATTTGGACCATCTGGATAATGGCAAACAGGAAGGCTTGCTTTGATTTGTTTCCCAGACTTGCTGGTAATACAGGTAGGGAAGAAAAGAGGAAAGGCTTTGATATCCTGTGTGCTGCCAAAAAGGACTTACTTGAGCTGAAATTGTTTCCAGGGGCAATTATTGTGTGGTCAGACTGATTTGAGAGGAGGCAGTGAGTACGAGGGCTCATGAAGAGTCCATGGGGTCACAAAGAGTCAGACACAACTTAGACTAAACAACAACAGTGACAAGGAGCAGCAGACCCAGGAAGAGTGGACATTGCAAGAAAAAAAAGAACAAGATTGGGCAATTTGTGCTGGACTTGTGTGAGAGAATGACTGGATATCCATAACCATCACCATGTTCCATAGCTTTTTCACATGGATGATGTTAACCTGTCAAAATGGGAGTATGTGTGGATTTTTGGTCACATGGTTATGGGGAGTCCTGATTGGTTGGTTGCAGCTGTCTTAGCTCTAATGGGAGGGGGGGTTCATAACTATTTATGTCTCTTGTGGCATTGTTGGAAGCATAGGGACAGGTCCAGGTGGTAGTGGGAGGGCCATTTTGGTGCAGGCAGGGGCAGAGAGATCACATGCATACCTAGTTGGGGGGGCGTTGCACACTTTCCCTGTCTCAAGGGAAAAAGCAGAGCCATGCAGTGGCTTCTGTTCATCTGGTTAACCCTCAAAATGACCCTTTGGGCAGCATCAGACACCAGGCATGCTGACTGATGGGGATCCATCCTCTATGGGCTATCGGCACTTGTGACCAATAAAGTTGAGGCCAAAGATGTTTATACTAAAAACTAAATTGTGTGTATATGGTTATTTGCACTCTAGCCATGGACCACCATTAATTATGCTGACAAGCTTCAGCCCCAGACTCACCTGAGGGCCATGTTTTATTGGCAGTGGTGACTCTGGGGCTAGATAATTCAGTGGGCACCATTGAAGGGTGGTTTGTCTTCCTCAAGGTCCTTTGCAGTGGAGTGAGGGATTCCTGCCTTCAAATTTGAACTGGCTAATGAGACTGGTCAGTAGAAGAAACCAGTTCTCCAAGCATACTGGAAGTATGAGTTATACAACCCCATCCATCTTGGAATTAAAATAACATTGCCGGCTGCGCCAGGGCCCTCTTAGGCTTCAACGCTTCCTCCACTTGCTTCGCTTTAAGTCAAGTTTCTGTAGCTAATAAAATATGTTCTGGGTGATCTGAAGAATATCCTGTGGGCCTTGAATATAATGGATGTTGCTCTCCTGAGTAGCAGGTAGATATGAGTGGTGTGGGAGTTCATTTGAGTGTCTATAAAGTGAGAAATGGGACTTTTGAAGGTCACTTTGAGGCCCAGCATAGATAAGACAGACATTGGTTTCACTAGGTTCTTCCAGAGGGAGGAATCAGATGAAGCAATGAAGAGCCAATTGTCTATATGTGGATAGATGATGATGTCCTGCAATTGTAGGTGAGCCGACATTACAGCTACACACTTGGTTAATGTTCCTGGGGTGGTTTGCAAGACTGAAAGGGAGAGCCATGGCAGGTAGGTGTGGCTTCCCATTGTCTTGTAGGAAAGATGGATGGCAATATGGAAGTAAGAATTCTGGAAGTTGATCATCACAAAACAATCTCCTCTGCATAGAAAGTGAGTGATTAATTGTTTGGTGAGCATGTGGAAGTACTTGGGGGCAACACAGAGTTAACTCCGACAAAGGAAGAAGGTCTTTACATTTGTTGTCATTATGCCTTTTTTAAATGCTTGGATTCAGATGCTGTGAGAGTTGCTTTCTGCCTAAGCAGCAGTTTGAAGTGCTGACATGGAGGCAGTGAGAGTTGGCAGGGTTGACACTGAGAGTTGGCAGGGTTGACACTGACAATGCTGTCAATGCCACTGTAGAAAGTATTGGGATCTTTTCCTAGTGGCATCAAGAGGAGATGACAAACAAGGGCATCCAAAGCTAGAACTGCTTATAACAGAGCACTGTTCTCAATTTGACCACACAGTTTTTCCTTTCCTGGGGAATGGATGTCTACAATGTATGAACACTTTGGTATCATGGATGCCTCCTAGAAAGACCAAGCATTTGAACTGTCCATCTTTAAAAAGGATCTTGGAGGAACGTTTGGAGCACTTTTTGAATGACTATAGGGTCAGCGGATTGCTTGCCCCTTCACAGATTGCTGCCTTGTCATGGTGAAGGGGCTTGAGTACTTCAGAGAAGCTACGGGCTATGCCATGCAGGGACACTCAAGACCGACAGGTCATAGTGGAGAGTTCTGACTAAACACGATCCACCGGGAGCAGGAACTGGCAAGCCACTCCAGTATTTTTGCCAAGAAAACCCCATGAACAGGAAAAAAGGCTAAAAGATATGACGCTGGAAGATGAGCCCCTCAGGTCGGAAGGCGTCCAACATGCTACTGAGGAATAGTGGAGGACAAGTACAAGTAGCTCCAGAGCTAATGAACTGGTTGGGCCAAAGCTGAAAGGACTTGCCTGGAAGTGAAAGGAAAGTCCGATGCTGCAAGGAAAAATACTGCATAGGAACCTGGAATGTAAGATCTATGAACCTTGGTAAGCTGGATGTGGTCAAACAGGAGATGGCAAGAATAAACTTTGACATCCTGCGTGTCAGTGAACTAAAATGGATGGGAATGGGTGATTTCAATTCAGACGATTACCATATCTACTATTGTGGGCAAGAATCCCGTACAAAAACTGGAGTAGCCCTCATAGTCAACAAAAGAGTGGGAAAAGCTATACTGGGATACAATCTCAAAAATGATAGAATGATTTCAATACGAATCCTAGGCAGACCTTTCAACATCACATTAATCCAAGTTTATGCACCAACCACCGATGCGGAAGAGGCTGAAAATGACCAATTCTATGAAGACTTACAACTTCTAGAACTGACACCAAAGAAAGATGTTATTCTCATTATAGGGGAATGAAATGCTAAAGTAAGAAGTCAAGAGATAAAACGAACAACAGGTAAGTTTGGCCTCGGAGTTCAAAATTAAGCAGGGCAAAGGCTACGAGAGTGTTGTCAAGAGAACAAGTTGGTCATCACAAACACTCTTTTCCAACAACAAAAGAGGCAACTCTACAAATGGACATCACTAGATGGGCAATACCGAAATTAGATTGATTGTATTCTCTACAGCCAAAGATGGAGAAGCTCTATACAGTCAGCAAAAAAAAGACCTGGAGCTGATTGTGGCTCTGATCACCAGCTTCTTATAGCAAAATTCAAGCTTAAACTGAAGAAAGTAGGAAAAACCACTAGGCTAGTCAGGTCTAATCTAAACCAAATGCCTTATGAATACACAGTGGAAGTGAAGAACAGATTTAAGGAACTCGATTTGGTGGACAAAGTGCCTGAAGAACTATGGATGGAGGCTCGTAACACTGTACAGGAGGCAGTAACAAAAACCATCCCAAAGAAAAGGAAATGCAAGAAAGCAAAGTGGCTGTCCAACAAGACCTTGCAAGTAGCAGACAAGAGAAGGGAAACTAAATAGGGAAAGTGACAGAAAATTGAATGCTTACTTCCAAAGAATAGCAAGGAGACACAAGAGGGCCTTCTTAAATGAACAGTGCAAAGGAATAGAGGAAAATAATAGAAAGGGAAAAACCAGAGGTCTGTTCAAGAAAATTGGAGACATTAAAGAAGAAGAGGTGGCAAGAATACACAGAGGAATTATATCAGAAAGATTTGGATATCCTGGACAACACAGATAGTGTGGTTGCTGACCTTGAGCCAGACATCCTGGAGAGTGAAGTCAAGTTGGCCTAAGAAAGCATGGCTAACAACAAAGCCAGTGGAAGTGATGGCATTCCAGTTGAACTATTTAAAATCTTAAAAGATGATGCTATTAAGTTCCTACACTCAGTATGCCAGCAAGTTTGGAAAACTCAGCAGTGGCCAAAGGATTGGAAAAGATCAGTCTACATCCCAGTTCCAAAGAAGGGCAGTGCCAAAGAATGCTCCAACTACAGTATAATGACACTAATTTCACACACTAGCAAGGTTATGCTCAAAATCCTACAAGGTAGGCTTCAGCAGTATTGCACCAAGAACCCCCAGAAGTACAAGCTGGATTTCGAAGGGGCAGAGAAACTAGAGACCAAATTGCTTACATGCACTGGATTATGGAGAAAGCCAGAGAGTTCTGCTTCACTGACTAAGCAAAAGCCTTTGACTGTGTAGACTACAACAAACTATGGCAAGTTCTTAAAGAAATGGGAGTGCCTGACCACCTTATCTATCTCCTGAGAAATCTATATGTGGGACAGGAAGCAACAGTTAGGACTGGATATGGTTGAACTGATAGGTTCAAAATTGGGAAAGGAGTATGACCAGACTGTATATTGTCTCCCTGCTTATTTAACTTATATGCAGAATACATCATGCGAAAGGCTGGACTGGATGAATCCCAAGCCAGAATTAAGATTGCTGGAAGAAAGTGGAGAGCGCAAAAAATGGTCTGAAGCTCAACATCAAAAAAACTGAGATCATGGCAACTGGTCCCATCACCTCCTGGCAAATAGAAGGGGAAGATATTGAGGCAGTGACAGATTTTACTTTTTTGGGCTCCAATACTTAGGCCATCTCATGAGAAGAGAAGACTCCCTGGAAAAGACCCTGATGTTGGGAAAGTGTGAGGGCAAGAGGAGAAGGGGACGACAGAGGATGAGATGGTTGAACAGTGTCCATGGGGTCATGAAGAGTCAGACACAACTTAATGACTAAACAGCAACAAGGGTCAGCGGCTGCCCACTAGGACATGAGAAGCACATGGCCCCCAACAGGGTAAAAACTAAGCAAACTAACTAAACTCTTCTCTGGCTCTTTAAATGAACAATATATAAATATTTACAATTAAGGTTTTTTATGTCAGAAAAAAGCAGTGAACAGGGAGGCGGGAAGTGGTCGTGGTTCCAGGATGTCTACATTGGAGAGCAGGCAAAAAGAAATTGAGCAGAATGGAACAGACTGAGTGGATCATACTATGGGCAGGGCTCCTGCCAAAATACTTCAGCTCAGCTCTAAAAGGTTCCCAGGGGATCTGCAGCAGTACAGAAGAGCCCACTGCTGTGCATTCAGAGACTATAAAGAAGACCCAGAAATTTGTACACATTCATCACTTAAATAATCTCCACATGCATTATTCTGCCCACTTATTGCATGATATGAACATCCCAACTACTACCACCATCAAGATGCATGCACAATCCTATGAAGCTGCTTCTGCTATGGTAGACTTCTATTCATGCTAGCTCACTCTGTCAGGCTGCGAGACTCTCCAGCATCTCAAATTCAGCTTTTTTTCACCACTTATGCCTCAGCTTTTTTCTAAGTTGTTACTTTTACAACAACAACTTTTTGGAATTCCTTTAATAAGAGAAAACATGCAACTGGAGGGTTTCTTTCAATGAGTTCAAATGTACTTACATAGGAGAACCAAATACCTCAAGAACTAGATTTTAAGGAATTAACTGTTCAACCTTTTGTTCAGTTATGTGTACTGGAAAATAAAACAATACCAATGGATCTTAAAAGCTGAAGCAGTGTCCATGTCAAATGTATCATCAAGGTTACACTACCATAACCCCATGATGAGTGCAGGGTTTGGGAAGAAAATCTAAATGGTCTCTCTCTCTCTCTCTCTCTCACTCACTCACTCACTCACTCTCTCTCTCTCTCTCTCTCTCTCTCTCTCTC